GAGTGTTGTTCAAACCTTATGGTGTACTGAGAGAGTGTTGTTCAAACCTTATGGTGTACTGGGAGAGTGTTGTTGAAACCTTATGGTGTACTGGAAGTGTTGTTCAAACCTTCTGTTGTACTAGGAAAGTGTTGTTCAAACCTTATGGTGTACTAGGAAAGTGTCATTCAAACCTTCTGTTGTACTAGGAAAGTGTCGTTCAAACCTTATGGTGTACTAGGAAAAGTGTCGTTCAAACCTTATGGTGTACTGGGAAAATGTTGTTCAAACCTTATGGTGTACTGGGAGAGTGTCGTTCAAACCTTATGGTGTACTGGGAAAGTGTCGTTCAAACCTTGTGGTGTACTGGGAGAGTGTTGTTCAAACCTTATGGTGTACTGGGAGAGTGTTGTTCAAACCTTATGGTGTACTGGGAGAGTGTTATTCAAACCTTCTGGTGTACTGGAAGTGTTGTTCAAACCTTATGGTGTAGTAGGAAAGTGTTCCAATCTTCTGGTTTATGAAGAAAGTGTCATCTGAAATGATTTTAAATTTAATAAGTGTAGAACGTTTTTCTCCTTAGTAGTTTTTTTAATATTTTTTTTTTAAAGAAATTAAACAACTTTTATGATGTTTCATAAAGTTCTTGTAGGTACTACTGGATAGGTTTTAGATATTTTTTCCTCATCCGTGGTTACAAATGCGTGAAGTTTAATGACATTACAAACATGTTATCCTTAAGATTTTATAATGATTCACGTGATGTCCTTTTATCTCAATTGGCCAATTTTGAACGGCTTAATATACAAGCTCTGATAATGATTGTTATGAAATTTGTATTAGATGTTCGTAAGGTCCTGAATCTGATATTTCAAGTTTCTCATCATTCTAGCAAGAAGTTCATCATTATTATAAAGTAAAAAATCTTTAGTGAATCGTAATTAACAGAAAAAAAAAATATGTTCATGAAGAAATTTATCAAAGAGGAGTTTTACTCGTGTGTTCATACTTGTCCTTAAAACCATAAGTTTTCTTGTTGCATTAATATTACATTTTATCCAACCTTAAAGTAGAAAGCTTTAACCTTTCAAACAAGACAAAATTTGTATTTGCTCATTTTTGTGTAGGTTATTACTGATGGGTCAGTAGATAGCCAGTGGACTGAATAAGTGGTGGACGAATCTGTGTTCAGATATAACAGTTTATGTCATTATTACCAGCTTTAAAGAAATGACTGATAATACTGGGAGCTAATTTTTAATCATACTGGTGGTTAAAAACAAGAGGAAGTCATCAGTAGCTGTGGCACTTGAAATTCTCTTAGACAGGATTAGAGTAAATTAATCTATGGGACCTTTTTCCTTTTTATTATCCATATTTTTGTGCACCAGCAATACCAACCATGGGGCGCACGTATACCTGATTTAATTTTATTACTCATCAGGATCTCTACCAGCCTACCCTCAAGTTGAAATTATTTTAGGCCAGATTAGAGTAAATTAATCTATGAGACCTTGGGCATGGTCAAATCAAAAGGGTTTGACCTCCTCAGTCCAAGTCTGTAATTAGATCTCAAATCATTCAAGAGATGATGGAGCTATGAGCTAATGGTTTGTACTCGAAAAAAAACTATCATAGCCATTCTATGAACTGCTATGCTCCAGCTAAAAAATACTGAATCTTTGTTTTTCAATTTGTGTCTATTATATATATCAACAGAATTTAAATCACATTACTTTCTGGCATGCATACATTGTAATACCTAATTAAAAATTAATCATTAAGTTATTTTTTACA